GATTGGTCCCCGCCACCAGGATTTCATTTCCATTGGAAAATCGGGCCAGTGCAAACAGCATAAAACAACTGGCCAACAGAAAGTGCTATTGTAGTTGCAGGAGCAGTGGGCTGGACATCAGGAAACCTGGGGTTTTCCATCACTAACCAGATGTAGATTCCCCTGCACTGCAGTTTCCCTCATTAAGATAAAAGGATGTAATGATACTGCTAACTCTCATACGTGGCTGTATGTGGCAATTTCCTAGTAAAATGAAAACTCCTCATTCCTGAAGATTCTGACTTAATAGGTGTGGGTAGGATCTAGAAATCTATATTTAAACAGCTATTCTAGGGAATTCTACTGAAGTCAGACTATGTCCTAATATAGCAACTATGGAGTTATATATAACCATTAATGTCTCTTTAAGCTCTCACATTTAATTCCCTTCTGGTTTTTAAAGCCTAGAGGGGCTCTGCATGGAACAAGAGTGCAGGAGAGTCACAGGCATTGACAGAAGACAGAAGGGCGTTTGCGAGTTTCCTAAGGCCACCATAACAAAGTAGCCCACACTAGATGGCATAAATAACACAGGTGCATTATCTCGCAGTTCTGAAAGCTAGAAGTCCAAAATCCAGGTGTCCACTGGTTCATGTGCTCTCTGAGAGCCGTAGGGGAGAATTTACATTGTCTCCTTTAGCTTCTGTGATTTGCCAGCAATCCCTGGCTTTCCTTGGCTTGTAGAGTCATCACTGTGGTCCCATGGCCATCTTCTCCCTGTGTATCTTCACACAGTCTTCCCTCTGTGCCTGTCTGTGTCCAAATTTCTCCTTTTTGTGAAGATACCAGTCACACAGGATTGACCCACCCTCATTTTAATTTGATTACTTTTATAAAGACTCTGTTTCCAAATAAAGTCACACTGTGCAGTGCTGATGATCAGGACCACAGCAGATCTTCTGGGGGACACAATTCAACCCATATCAGGGAGTTTTCAGGGAAGAATTAGGATTTGAAAGCAAGGTGGTGTCTGCCTTGGTGACAGAAAGAACATAGTTCTCTGAGTGATGGATGCAATCTGTACAAAAGGAACGATGGTGTTGGTCCAAGATGAATAATAGCAGGGCCAGGCTTGAAAGCTGTGGTGGCAGCGGTAGAGACCATGGTGGTGACAGAGCTAACACCTGCAGAAATTTATCACGTGCCTTTCACTGCCCCAGCCACGTGGCATGTGCATTCCATCCTCAAAGGACTGCTCGAGGTAACAATATTCTGAGTGGTGGAGAGAAAGCAATGGTGGCACAGAGGAGTGGCATAAGTCAACTCCTCAGGAAGCTTCCCGTAGAGGATCAGGTTTGTCTGATGCCAAGCTTTTCCTTTTTCTCGGGATGACCTGCTGCCTTCCTCATGGCACAGGTGCGAAATGAGCTGGCGTGAGTAGATCAGGCTACTTGTTGAAGGGTTTCCATAAAGCAGTGGGATTTGTGTTTGATGTTACAGAAAATAGGGAGCCATTTTTAGTGTCTGGAGAGTTGTGACATGATGGAGGGGGTGTTTTAGGAAGATGAATGTGTCATTTCCACTAAGGGATGTGTTTTCTTTGGAAAATAAAGACTTACAAATGAGAAGCTATTGACCATGAAGGGTTTCTTTTCATAGGATTTTATCAAGTGATTTGCTTCTTTCCCTGCTCGTAGCTCTTAACCAAGAATTTCCTTTAGCACCTTAAATGCACTTTAAAATATGCTCTGCTTATCTGTTTCCCCCCCCAATATTCTTTCTAAGTTCCTCATATGAGTGATAAAGCATTGATCATTTACAGCCAGAGCACAATTGCTGTTTCAAAGAAAACTCTCCTTGAATCATTAACTCTATAAATTCAATCATCAACTCTGTAAATTTCAGTTTAGGGCTTTTTTTTTATTGTTGTTGTTTAATTCTTCATTTGCTTTAAGTAGCAACTATAGGAATTTCATTTCTGGTGGTTCAGAATTTAATTTGTTACATTGCTAATCTTTTTCTCTGTTTTTCTTATACATGGTTCTCCTACAGAAAAAAAAAAATGTGAGGATAAAGGGGAAAATAATAACAGTGAAACCTAAAATGTATAAAGCATTTTACTATACAAATTACTCTTCTTGTGACTTACCCAATTTAATCAGAAAGTAGACATGTAACAATTGGTGAACAGTACAGTGATTGTGGTCTCTCTATAACTCTACATTTGGTCTGGAGAACATATGATAGTAAAATTAAGCCTCGTTGCTTTTTGCAGGATGACTTAAGTGTAAATCCCTTCCCTCTGGTAATAGAAATCTGGATCGATGGAGAACATACGGCTTCTCCAAATCTTAAGCCATCCAAATTCCTTTTCTACATAAGATTGCCTGATATTCATGTATAAAATTAAACATACACTAATACACCTGTCCCCACTTGATAAATTCTTGATTGTGATTACCCTAAGATTTATGTGCTTGCATTTGAGTCTGTAATTCCCCGGACTTGCTTCTCATTTGGATGTCCAAATAACAAGCTCATCCAAGCTGGGTCCTTATCAATCTTGCTGTGGTCACACAAGAACATACGTGGATGGTGAAATTAAAGTGTATGTATGGCCTCTGGTTGGAGGTAAGGATAAGAGATGCAGAGATCACCTGTGTCCTTTAGTTTCCTTGCTTTGGTGGTATAGTACACAGCCTCCCAGGAGATGTGAGTTCCTACCAATCACTGCTCTGACACTGGAGCTCAGTCCAGAAACAGCTGTCCAGAGCTAATTTATTTCCTAATGCTACAGCACTGTTAATTTATAAATTACATTGGTAATTTGAGCTATTATTAATTTCAGATGGTGTAGGGCAAGCCTAATTAAAATATGACACCAATTGTCACACATATGTACCAAGGACTACCATTTAAAATTAATGGGAATATTAAGTGTGACACTGGTCTCTGAGATACTTTGCACAGTAATTATAGCATTCTAGCTGGGAAAGATCTGACAAATGTAGGCTTGAGGTTGGAGAAAATAAACAATGACAACATAGAAGGAAACACACCTTCTTCATGTCAACCTTCTCTTTTTATTCCCTGCACTCTTCCTCAAATCAAGGTTAGTACTTCTTTCCCTAAAGATGCTTACAAAACAGTAACAAGAAAGCTATTGTTCATTAGCAGTTTCTTACTTGTTGGGAATGTGAGTCTTTGTGGGTTAATGTTGATTGCCCCCTCCATAGCCTGGACTTCTGGGCCCTGTTTTCCACTTATTAATGTGTTCCTGGTTCTTGTTGTGAATTTTGGTTGCTTACTGTAACAGATACAGGCTGTTATTTTGCTCTCATGTAGATAGTATGGGCAAGAGAGTGTCTACCCATGTTTAGTGTGGGTTCCATGTGGCATGAAGAAGTATGAGGAAATGCTTAGGTTGGGCTTGTTACTGGATGGTGGCACAGATTTCTCATGACCAAGAAGTGGTGACAGGGATGGGAAGGTAGTGCCCGTAATTGACAAGATAGTCATTTTCTAATTGTTGTTATTGTTATTTCTACTGTTATCTTGACAAGGATGGTGACCTTAGTGATGTCATGGAACAAACACAATGGGAACTTTACATACCATATCTATTTTTCTTTGTATTATATTAGTGTCTTACTATTGTCATTTTCATGCTTTGGATCTGCAGATCCATTAGGCATTATGGGGGGTCTAATCATCCAGAGAAAAATGCTTCTTTCTTTCCTTTACTCATGTGGACCACTCATGTTAAAATAGTTTCACTCCACCTGAGTCTGGCTTCCCAGCAGATTACAGGCTTCCTTCCTAAAGCAACAGGTTTGCAACCTGTGAGAGTTTTCAGATTGCTTTTGTGTATATGTATGTTTTTATTTGTTACCCCAAACAACCCTGTGAGGTTCTAGAACTGTATGCACAACATGCCTGTGAAATGTCTCTCAGTTGCCTGGGACAGTCTCAACGCATGCTTTTATTGTCCCAGAGTAACTATTAATAGTTCCTCTTTTACCCTTAAAAGTATCCCTGTTTACATAATAAAATATATCATCAAACTATCTTTACTTAACAGAGAAGGCAGAGTAATGCTGGGATGTAAGCAGTTCCTTTGGTTCTCCCTTGCCTTTTCGTAAGTAGGCTGAAGTTCACGGTGACTAAGGGAGAGAACTGTGAAATCAGTCTTCCAGGCTTTAACCTTGCTGTTCCCATAAGACAATGCGCATGGTTAGTGCTCAAGTAGGAAGCCAGTAGGTCGAGGGTTGTCTTTTATTCATAATTGTTCAACAGAGAAAACGTGTCTCACGGTTAAGACATGACATGTTAAGATTTGCCACCATGTCTCCTTGCTCTTGACTTTCTTCCGTATTTGTGGTTGAAGTCTGGTGTCCTTTTTGTTGGTTTGTCTTCAGGATCTTCTATATGAGAGTTCTAGGCAGATCAAAATTTAGAAAACTGATCTTTGCTTATTTTATTGAGTGTCTAAATCTAAAAGCTGGAGTTTAAGTTTATTTTGTCAGTGTTGCCACTGCCTTCTGTGGCTCGTGTGTGTATAACTGTTAGTGTGGTGTTTTTAATTGACTTATGGACTGGGATGCAGTGATCAGCTCTAGACTTCAAGGTTCAGCCTTAGTGATACCTTGGAATCAGAAAGAGTTAATATTCACGTATGGTGCCTAACTTAGATCCCAAAGTCCCACCGCTTGGTAAGATTTGGCCATGTAAATGTCAAAATTATTAATCACTTATTGAGGACCTGTAATTCTCCAGGCTCTGTGTTCAGTCTAGGTAGGAGCACAAACACTTCAGCTGCTCTACTGGGAAACTAAAGGAAAGTTGATGGAAGCAGTAGAAGGGCAGGGAGTGGGGGAAGGAGAATGGGCATCGTTCTTAAGAATCGAAACTTGGAAATGGCACAATTCTCTGAAGACATAACCATTTTATAGTTTGTTTTCTAAGTTTATACCTTTGGTGTTTTGTTTTGTTTTGTTTTCTCACCGTACCTTCCCCTGCAGCTGTGGGCTTTGTGAGTGAAGACGAGTACCTGGAAATCCAGGGCATCACACGGGAGCAGTCGGGGGACTATGAGTGCAGTGCCTCCAATGATGTGGCCGCACCAGTGGTCCGGAGAGTAAAGGTCACCGTGAACTGTAAGTGGTCTCAGGAACCCCCACCCTGTGCGTGTGAGGCTGGCTGCTATCATGGCCACAGTAAAGAGCTGGATCACAGAGCCAGAGGCTGACTCAGGATGGGAACTAGTGCCATATCATTGTCCATTCTCTGCTTTCAAGAGGAGTAATTCCAAATTCTAGTTTTAAAAAAAGTTGCAGCTGAAAGTAATTTAATATAATCCCGAACTAGAAGATCATTAAATGGCTTTCAATGTACAATTTATAGAAATGCATCTTTGAATCCCAACTTTTCCCATACTTTGCTCATAGTGTTTCCTAGATCTTCCCTCTTTAGGCCAGTCATGTCCATAGTAGGGAGCAAAAATACCATGAGTATAAAGGAAATTTATGATACATTTATGGAAATTTATTGTACATATTTATGGTGTATTTATGTGATCTCATACTTCTGTGATTACATATGTTGATGTACAAAGTGTACATTCATAATTTAAATATAAATAAACATACACATATTAAAGGATGCATCTCAGAACCTGATTTTGACTAACAGAGGTACAGAATCTGTAAAGTTTGGAGGCCACTGCTCTAGACCCCTCATTCTCTCTTATCAACCAATCAGATTCTCTCTGACATTGACCCTCCTCCACTTCCCCACCTGTGTCTCATGCTCTCTCCTCTTGTTTATAGTATACATTGAGTAGTTCCATGGGACTTTTGGAAAGTTTTCTCTGCTGTGCTCATTTCAGGAAGTCTTACAACAGGATAGAACCCAAGAACTAACCCAGCAGACAAGAAGCATTTCCTTTTCAAAACTTTGGGGTGGAAGTGTGGGAAGAATATTGTGTCTTGGTGGTTATTCATTCTTTAATGTTTTGCTTCCTTTTAAAATCTGAACCTACTTAATGCACAGCACTTTAGGAAGCAAGGGGATAGGTATAAAAATGCTACCATTCTTATACCAGAATGTGTACCACCAACTTGTTAAAGGGATTTGAAATGATTTGCAGTTAATAAAAATTAACCTGGAACGTAAGGGGATGGGAACAAAGGGAGAACCTATTTACGACAGTAAGTGAAAGCTAGGGATAAGCGAACACCAGAAATATATACTTCAAGGAGGGTAGACGCAGGTGCAGAATTTGGCTTTGAGTTGTGAAATCAAAATGGGGAGACATCATCTGCTTTAAGGTTTATGTCCATAAGATGAAAGCAAACCTGTTGCTTGGGAAAAACACCGATTTTCCTGGTACTGAGACGCAAGAGAAATTTCTCTTTAGTGTCTCCACAAATAGATCACTTTGAGATAGTCAACAACGTCACACATGGTACTTCTGCAATAAATAGAATGCCAAGTTTATTATGGCTGTTTTTCATAATGCACTTCAATGTAAACTGTTGGAATTGCCAAGGGTAGTTAGATAAAGACTTCAAATGAATGCAGGCCAAGTTTATAGGTCTAGTCTGGTCTGGCTGGATTTGGGGATCCATTTTAGGATGCTTTAAAGAATAACTGATCTGTCTATGCTTCAGGAAATTCTCCATGAATATTATTTCTTGCAACTGAGCTTTTGATGGGAATTGAATGGTTTGAGGTTATAGACTCTGGCAAGAACCTGGTGTGTAGAAATTCTATAAGGCTGATTAAAGGAGTGTAGGGTTGATGGGCTAGCATTCTCCTATGAAAGTTAAAAAGTTTAAACAGGAAATATGCCTGAATACCTGCTCATTCCACCTCCGCACAGAGGGGAACAGCACCCATACAAGCTAGGAAGACAAGCTTTTCCTTAGCACCGTGTTGAGTGGTTTCACACTCTGGCTCAATTCATGTACAATTTGTCAGCTTGAGCAAGCAGAGGTAGAGCAGGGAGTAAACACCAAAACCAGTGAATGAGGCAGCCTGCTTCACTTTAGGATGCATTTTAAAATGCTACAGCACATCTTCTCTCTGCAGACCCGCCGTACATTTCAGAAGCTAAGGGGACAGGCGTCCCTGTGGGACAGAAGGGAACACTGCAGTGTGAGGCCTCAGCTGTTCCCTCTGCAGAATTCCAGTGGTACAAGGATGACAAAAGGTAAAGACTCCCTCCCTACCTTACCTGGCTCCAAGGAGAAGAAAGTTTTTCTAGCTTCCCGTTTCCAGATGGTTACGCAGGAATTTCTGAGCAATCTTCTCCTAGTTCCAACTAGTTATCAAGGTGGGGGGGTGGGGGATGTATTTTCTGATTAGTCATGGTTTTCAGCTCTGTTTTTAACATTTTCATACAGAGTTATCCCTTGCTAATCAACGGGCCTGAAACAAAACATTTTTTAAGAAAAGCAAAATCTCAGAGAAGGCCACAGAAACATTGCAAGGCCTGTGAATTTTTTTTTTATAGGGCAAGAAAATAATGTGTTCTCCCTGAAGCTATTTTTAACACACTCTCAAGGCTTGCATTAAGAAACTGAGAATGTTCACGGGGTGCTGGGAGTGGCTAAGAAGTTAGCAGGTCTCCAGTTCAGTTCCGGACACCGTAGGTGGTGGTGGATAAAGGAGTCCATGACCTGATTTAGCCCTCCCTTTGTGCCTGGGTTGTTCTTTCAAGGTAAAAGAAAAGAAAGGGGACTATTCCCTTCCCTCCCATTGTTGCAGCCATCATCGGGATATCTGTTGTGATTCAGGGAAGATTGTCATTGCGAGAAGTTATCAAATGGCGAGTTAGCACAGGGTTCAGCAGCTCAGAACAGCCAGGCAACATGACAATTACTGTGATCAAAGAGCTATTTTAAGGTGGGTGAACAACGAATAAATGTGCAAGAGCTGTCCATGTTCAAAATGCTTTGATAAAAATGGGGAGGGGTTGGTGCATGTGGGTGGAGGAGGAAGATGCTTTAGGGGCTGAAAAGCTGGGAAGAAAAACAGCCCAAGGGGATTGCAAGAAGGGAATTTGGAGCAGGTCCAGGCCAGCCATGACCCAGCTGTCGCTTGCACTACTTAGAACGTCTCTTCCAGCATGTCTTGGGTGCCTTTCTTTATGAGGTCCGTCAGACACCAAAAGCTTGCCCCGTCTTGGAATCACATGACTCCATCGTCAGACTCATCCTGTCTTATCATAATCCCCCCAAATGAGAAGCAGTGCTTTTCAGTCCTGAAGTAAAAGACTGGCAGCATCTTGAGAAGGTGTATCCTATTCATCTGGCCCATTTTAGAGATGAAAGACAGGAGGCTGAAGTCAGAAAAGCAAACACATGAAGAGATAAGAAGAAATAGCTAGCTTTCCCCCTTCTTCTATGAACTCAGAATAATGCTGAAGGGAGTAACATTTTCCCAGTAAATAAGCATTTTTCTTGCGAGTCCTGCTCCCCTGGTCCCTCTGCCTTCCTACTGAAGGCCCTCCTCTGTGGAAGTCTAGTATCAGAAAAAACTAACAAAAAACATGGAGCTCCACACCCAGTTCCTGAACCTTCAATTATCCAGGTCTTCCCTAATCAGATGCATCTTATTTTTTTTTAATTCTTTATGGGAGAAAAAGATAAGTAAAAATGTAGGGGAAAGTGAGATTTTAGAATATGTGGAGGAAATATGTAGAGCTGTCCATGACAAAAATGACCAGTGGTGAGAAAAAATGTAAACACAGCCCTGCATTGCACCCTCTGTGTCGTAGGAGGGACTGCTGTATATGTATTATTTTCCAAGAAGAAAGCCCAGTCACGTTTCAGATCCCCCCTGTCTCAGGCAGCCTTGATTTCTCTACTGTCCAAGCTCTTCTCATGGGGGCTCCTGTCTCCCCTTCAATTGATTCTGGTCAGTTTTCCATGTGTTCCTCGTTTATTTATTTCCAGTGTTCTCCCACTGAGTGGAGTTGTCTGTCCTCCTGACACCCAGCTCAGCAAGAACAGCTCTGGCTCTGAGGTCCTTGTTGCTGCCAGTCCTTCCTGTGCCACTGAGGCTGCCAGGCAACCTCCTCCAGGTGGCTCCCCCCTGGAGGAAAGAGCAGCTCTCCCCTAGCTCCATTCCTAGTAACATGAGCAGACTTCAGAGGCAAATCAAAGGAGTCCATATGATGGGGACAGAGAATTTTCTCAAAATTTGCAGTAGAAGCCTCTTTTGTCTACATCCTAGCACCACTCAACTGCAGGCCACGGCCACTGTGTGTGTCATCAGTCAAAGGGAGAGGAAATAGATTGCAATACTTATTAAGATCCACCCATCCACGGGGACACATGAGCCAATGAAAAGCCTCCGGTTCATTAAAAATCTGGAGCCTGGGAGCGGTATGGAATGGGGAAATGTGTGACCACACAGAGAAGAGGCAAGTCTGTCGTCCCAGAAGCTGCAAAGTGCCGCAAAACGCTGCTCGCCACCCCACCCTGCTTTTAGCTAAAGACATTTCAGAGCTGTCAAGCAGGAACCTGATTCGGTAAGTGTCTCTCCCCACTGCAGAGCTGAAATCTAATTCACAGCTTGGTTCTGATGTGAAGGCTTCCTCCCCAGCCCAGGAATGGCGTCAAAATGGCAAATGGGATCAATACACTTGACGGGTTCTCCAAACCTCCTGGTGGGTGGGCTTGCAGAGCCTTCTTTGGACAGCACTCCCTAGAGGATCAGTATCTACATAACAAGCTGGAAATAAAACAGCGTCGTCTGGCAGCACAGCCGGATGCCTCATTCCGTTCCTACAGTGCTCACATTTTAATGAAGTCCATGGACTCAGGCCAGTTCACTGCCCCTAGCTTATGAGAGAGAAAGGCTCCCACAGGAAAATCTACATAATGAAAAGCAAGCAACTTCCTCCAGCCAACCTTCTGACTTCCCAGGAGACAGATGTTCTGCAAGAACTGAAACCAGAGCCTGACTTTCTCTTCGGATCGGGATTGGGGTGGCAGATTGAACTCTTCTGTAGTTCTACAGGGACTACGTCTTCAGAGGATGACAAAGCACATGCCCTCTGTGCCAGAAGCATGTTGGGATCCAGGGACAGGCAGGAAGTCTTGATGTCTGACTCCACAGAAATTTAGTATATTGAAGAACATTTTTAGTTTATGGAGCATTTTCTCATCATCATCTTGCTGGGCTTCACTTCCTATTCTGCCTTGAATATTGTCTTTCTCAGTTTGATGACTCTGAAACCAGCCATTGGCCCCAATTTCTGTCCCTATGCCTTAACATTGTTTATTTCCCACATATTCTGCCCCAGCCAAGCCCTAAAGCATGTTCCCTGAGATCCTCCATTCAGAAGGATCTCTCCCCACCCCCAACATTTATCTTTCCCATAGCGTAGGCTCAGTCTCTGGGCAAGGAAGACAAATGATTTCAGGGAAAGTAAAAGGTTGGCTTAAAGCCCATTCTCTGAAATAGGACATTCCAGAGTTTTTAAAAGGAAGAGGGTTGGTCTCATAATTTCCATATAGACTTGTAATGGTACTAAGAATTTTTGCTGACAGCATCCTGAGATAGAGGATATGACCCCATCAGACCCTAAGCGGTATTCTCCTGACCCTCTCCATCTGCCTAGTAGTGATAACTATGGCTCTGGCAGGTGTATCTGTTTTCTGCACTCACACTCTGTGGTCTTTCTTTAGTGGCCCTACCACCAGTGCAAGCCATTGTGGCATATTGGACTGCCATTGTCCAGGCTCTATAGCGTCAGTCTTAGGAATCTATAATCCTTTCCAGACTGAGTTATTATGGTATTCTGGGGAGACCACCTCTCCCAAGCCCTTCAGGGTACCCTGCTGTAAAAGTGATCCCTGATTCTTATATTCTATTTACCAGCAAAAGTAAAGTATTATCTGCAGAATGCCTCAAGTTCGTAAGAGAACATTTATTACCAAGGTGCTTGAAAACACTTTGTTCTTTCAAAGTCCTCAGGTTCTTCTCTTTGAAGATTGAGGTGTTGTTGTTGTTGTTGTTTTATTCTTTATGGTTACCATCACCATCATCTTTATTAATCTTATCATCTACATCAATTAAGTCCACACTCGGAGTACCTGCTGTCTGAATGTCACACAGCTGGTATACTGGATGTGTTGAAGGCATCTGCCTTCAGAGAATTTAGTGAATATCTGTGTAGTGCCAAGACTGTCTCCAGGCACATGCACAAAACTAGAGAAATACAAGTACATATCCTTGTGTGTGAACATGCATTAGTTGAGTGGGGGGAAAAATAGTCATCATGATGTCGATGGGGGCAATAAGAAGATCGTTAATTCCAGAGTCTGTCTTCCTCCTATGAGAAAAATATAACCATCTCCTTTTTTCTCCTTTTTTGTCTCTCTCTTGTTGGTCTCAGACTGGTTGAAGGAAAGAAGGGGGTCAAAGTGGAAAACAGACCTTTTCTCTCAAAACTCATCTTCTTCAATGTCTCCGAGCATGACTATGGGAACTACACCTGTGTGGCCTCCAATAAGCTGGGCCACACCAATGCCAGCATTACGCTATTTGGTAAGACTGAGCCCTGAGCTGGGCAGTGAAAACAGGAAAGGGTCTCATGGGACAGAAAGAGTCAGAAAGAGCTGCAAGTGTGGGGTGGCTTGTGTGAGAGAAAAAGGAGAAGCTAGGCATGGGTGAGTGAGATGGAAGAGGAGGGGGAATGAGAGAGAGAGGGAAAAAAAATCTAGTGCATGGATGAGCATCGGTAGTAGGAAAAAATGAGAAAGAATGTTCATGTTTCATTTATAATGGGTAAACCCTGAGGCAGGAGGAAATGGTGTTGGGATGATGAAGTGACATTTAATTTTTTCTCTTCGAGAGCTCCTCAACTGACTAGGGATGGGGGGTTCTAGTTAGATTTAATAGCAAAGCACTCGGAGAGCAACATTTACTATTTCAAAACTTTGTTCACTAGGGTGGTGTAAGATGTTACCATTTCTTTTCCTGGCTGTTGGGACATAGAGATACTGAATTCTATTTGTAAAAGTAGAATCATGGGCCTTGGGAATTCTGAAATTAGCTTCGGAGGGAGAATTCAGCAAGGAAATGGGGCTTTCTCCTCAGCTCCTCATTTGTGTCAATGGGTGTTGTCTGACTGGACTAAGATACATTTGTCCAGCTAAGCCACCATCCTGACAGAAGTCACATAGTCATTCATGCATTAATTCATTCAACAATGGTTTATTGGAGGACTGATGTGGGTACAGCAAATTGCTCTGCCTTCCTACATATCTGGCAAGTATACTGGTGCCAGAAGCAAGTAAAGAAAGCAAACAAACAAGCTCCCTTGTAGATCCTAGATGTGTCAAACAATGGAAGTGAGCTGATGTGTAGGTCTATGTATCTGCCCGGACTCCAGGTATCCAAGGATGACTTGCATCCCTTGGTAGATGCAGATTAACCCTGCAGGCCACAGAGTGAATTTCTGGTTGTTTTTGAGGGAAAATTCCTCCATATCCTCACAAGCTCAGGTAGCTTGGATTTTTTCAAATCCTTCCCTCTAGTTTCCCATGGTAGCAAGCACCCTTGAATATGATGGCAAGGGAAAGCAAAGAATTAGCAGATACTTAGTAAGAACATAAATTCCTTTTCCTCTGAGAACTCCCAGAAAATCTTATGGCTTCAATTACCTCACTCTCGCCCCCAGTCCCTACCACATCCCTCCACGGTACATTGTATTCAGCCGGCCTCAAATAACGCGCCTGTACAGCTCCATGGTCCCATCTCCGCTTCCAAATCACATTCGACCTCCCTTTTATCCAACACATAAAACAAAGCTCAGCTTTATCCAAGGGGGCTGGGAAGAGGAAGGCTGCCCTTGATCCCAGAGCTGGTTGCTCAGAATGGGCAGAGCTGTGATTAGAGTGATTGATCTGTCTGACATCTCTCACGCGGGGATAGTCATAATTGCCCCTCACATTTGTCAGGCCTTTTTGGCTTTCTGGCAGGTGTCTGTCTCCAGAAACAGAAGGGCCAGGATTATAAAGGAACAGACCCCTCCTTCCCTGGTCTTGCAAATCTCAGGCTCTCCTAGCGGTACCGTCCACCCTCCCCAGGCCTGCCCTCCACCCACAGCAGCCCTCATTCCTGTAAGCAGTCTTCCTCCTCCTTCTCTGTCCTCCTTGCTCCTCTGATTTGGATGCATGACATGGTTTTGCAATTGGCTTTATCATTGCTGTCTAATTCCCTGGCCTCTTCCCCTTAAGCCATCTGAAGATGAGAACGGGGAGAAGGCACAAGCTTTGAGAGTGCAATAGCTGGCATTTGTGACAAGGAATGCAGTAAAGCCTGTGCCATAAATCTGCTCTTCTCAGCAGACCCCTATGTGGCAATTAGAACCTCTGCCTCCCCGTCGGTCTATCTGTCTTCACCCTGTGTGTCATATGGACATTCCTCCAATTGTCAGCTCTCTGGAGTCCAGGATTCTTTTAAAAAATACATGGAAAAGTGATAGTATGTATTCATATAAGTTTAGAAAGACTGAGTCCAGCAAGATAAATGGGGTACGCATGGGAATGTTCTTTAATGTGGAGATCTCCTAGCTTTTCTTTACACGCGAAATAGCTAAGAGGGAGAAAAAGCATGGAGCATTTTCCAAATTTAATCCAAAAGAAAGCAATTTTGAAGTCTCAAATGAGAGACCATTTGAGAGGAGTCTGTCACTGAGATGCCCTGTGGCTGACATAGTTCTGTGGAACTAGTCAAATGCCATTAGCGAGCAAGGTGGGTATTTCTACCCCACTGGCTCTTGCTGAGGTCTAGTCCAGACATGGCAACCCCAAAATTCATGATGGAGGCCCACCATCATGAATACAAACTTATACCAAAGTTTTCCGTGTGTCATCTCCCATTATCAGTGGACCCTCAGCCAAGACCCATGAAGCAGACTATGGCAGTGAGAAAACAGCATTTGTGTTATGCGAATCTGTAAATTGTGTGATGCAGTCCATTCTCCTATAGCATCGCAGAAAGCCAGCTATATTATTGCCGACTTTCATGCAGACTGCTTGCCCTCATCATGTGACATGGACATTGGAAAGTGAGAAGTGCTGCACAGGGAGGCCCCATCATGGCCAGGATCCAAAGGGAGCAGGGTCATCTTTTCTACCATGGACCAACAGTGTCCTGAGCACCTGCTCCCTAAGACTGCAGAGATTGCCGGGCTCCCAGAATCATGGTGGTTCTTGGGGCCATCTTGCTTGTGCTGTGGTGCCATGGGATCAGAAATTCCTGAACTTGGTCTCCAGTTCAGTGGGGATAAGATGTGTGACAGAAACCTCATCTGGAAAGGGACTTAGGTCCTTTGTTACCACATCAGTCCCCCAGCTCAGCACAGCTCTGGGAAATGTATGAGTGGCCAGCTCCCTCACTTTCCAACCATCACATCTAAGGATGGAAGCATAAAGCACATTAGTGTTTTTCATGCTGGATCTTGTCTTACTACTTTTGGTTTTTGTGTCTTCCTTTATTTACCCATTCCCACAGAAATGTATGTGAAAGGCAGTATACAAACTATATATGACAAATATATAGCGGCTGTATATAATATATGTGTTTGTTTTCATTTTTCTCTCCTGTATGTCCCTCACCCGATTTAGAACTAAATGAGCCTACAAGCTCAACTTTGTTGCAAGGTCAGTATCCCCCTTGCTTTATGGTTTTTCTTCCCTCTCCTTTCTCCTGGAGTCCCCCTCCCCGCTTTCCCACCTTTCATTACCTATCTGTGAAGTTGCTTAGAGGATGCTTGTGAAAACTAAGGAAGTCACTGGAGCTGATGGAGCTTGAAGGGTAGCTCTCCTCACTCTGCTCACACCTTGCCCGCACTTTCTCAGGAGTAACAGGTGGGGGAAAAAAAGGACCATTAACTTCTCAAAGCCTAGAGATCTATGCAAAGGCCAAAGGTAGAGCGCATGAGTCTAAACCAGTAGGAAGACAGTCCAACCCACCAAACAGTTTTCATAACAAGAATCCTATCAGTGGGCCCTGAGCAACAGAAGCAAACATTGTGTGCATGAAGATTTAAGTATTCCCTACAATGAATCAGCTGGTTCAAAGCAAGTTTCTCTAAGGAAGGCAGGGAGGCAGGGTGCAGCACACATGTCAGTTAGTAAACTGTGACCTGGAGTGGGATGCCACTGAGATCCAGTTCAGAGCCCAACATTTAGTAGTTCTGTGCTCTTGAGCAGTCACTAAACATTATTGAGACTCAATTTCCTCTTCTATAAAATAGAATTGATCTGCCTTATCTACCTTAGAGTTGTTCCAACATTCAGCAGAAACTGCATAGTAAAAAGGCTTTAGAAACTGCCAGGTGCATTTTGAATCATTCCAGTCCAATCTCCAGATGCAGACTGAAAGACAGGAATTTCCCTCAGTGCCACCTCTTAAGGTCAAAGCTCTTCTCCCCGGCCGCTTTACATCCTAATCCACTTCAAGCCCTTCCCCATACACAGCTCCTGCCTCTCCTGCTTGTGTTTGCACCACCTTTTCAACTTTCTCAAGGCCCACTAGCACGCCATAAGTGATTCACGAGGGTCCACGGACCTCGCAGAGGAGGTTCACTAAGACTGTGCATGAGCGGTTGGGCTGGAGGGAGTCCAGCCGGGTGGTGGAAGGAATCCATGCTGCGTGTGCTGCTATTCTCCTCCAAAGGACAGGGAGGACCATAGGGTGGCCCAGCAGGAAGGCAGCTATGAGGCTTTACCCACCTTGCACCCCAATTCCTGACCTTTCTCATCCCACTTGCTCCCACACCCATCCCCCCACATCCCTTCCTGTCTGGCTACACCAACACTCATTGGAAACTGGCAGTAGACCTGCAAGGTGAGAAAGGAGATGGAAGGAGATAAATTGCATGAGAAGCTGTTTGACAGATGAGGAAAAATACTTTCATCACAAAAAGATTCAAGGCTGCATTCTTCACCTTAGTGATACAGGGTGCCATAGCGACGCACTGCAAACAGGAAAATGAAACAAAGAAATAGAAAGTAAAAGTGAAGTCAGTGAAAGCATTCGGGTCCAACTTATGATTCAACTTATGTTTATTGAACCCCCGGTGCAGGGTTATCCACTGATGTAAAATCAAGAGCATCAAGAGCGTTAGGAAAGGAGCGAACCATAAATGGTAAAAGGGAGGCATGAGGAACTGGAGCGAAGACAGATGGTGCTACAGGCTGTGCTTTCAGAAGTGATCGAGCTCATTCTGATCACTTAGCTCTTTATTTCCAGAGGGAATAGGAGCTTTTAAAATAGGCAGTGGCTGCTTAGGAGTTAGTTATTTCCCTAAAGGTGTACTCACCTGACAGAGGGGGGCGTTGTCCCACACCAGAACCAACAATAACAAGACAGAGGAGAAACGATCACTTCTGGCTTCTGCGGCTGAGCCAGCCTCCACCTGCAGAGACAAAGCTGTCCTGCCTCACTCCTCTCTGCTGCAACAATGAATTTGGGTAAAAGGATCTGTATGCCAGCTCTCTACTCTGCTTCTCAGGCTGCTCTCAACCCCACATCCTTCTTGTTGAATACAGGGCAATGGGTCATTGCCAGAAGTTGTAGATTGTAGACATCGGGAATGTTCCAAGATTTGGATTCTGTGGTCTTCACTATAACTTTAGACTCTTTATACAACGGAAGAATATCTTAGAGAAAACAGACCGTGTACCTGGGGCATTTCTCCCATTCACTTGTGTTCCTTTTTTTTTTTTTCCCCATTCATTTCTTATTTATTTATTTAACTTCCTCCTCTGCTAGTGTCCCACAGAATAGAGAGCTACCTGTTTTCTCAGGAAATACCCCTATGTTATGCTCATCTTATCTCAGAAATACCAACCAAGATTTGTACAAATGCATGGATTTCCACGGACAGGGTACACTTGGCTTTAAGAGAAGTTCTAAGCTGTTTTGTTACTCAATATCTGGACAGACTAGAGAGATTCTGATAAGAGAATTTCATTCCTCCTCAGCCTTTGCTGCCACCCTTGAAGTATTTCTCTTGTTCCCCTTTTGCAAGCACAACAGATTGCACGTCATCCTCTCGTATTAATATTCGGTGGTGCAGGACTCCTGCCATGATAAATAAGGACTCAGGGATGCACCACCATCCCTCACCAAGCTCCCTCACAGGCAAGTGTGCCGGGACCCACACTGCAAGCTCAGCGTCTTGGTAGCTGTTCATTTCCCATCCACTGTCTTTCATCTTTTATCTCCTAGGCATGAAGTCAGATTTGATGGTATCAGTGGGCTGGGAAAGGTTGGCTGATTAATGCCTGGGAACCTCACAGTGACTGTCAAACCAACTTATTAAAGAATGGGGGAGTAAGTAAACTCTGTATCAGAAGGAAAAAATTGCAGCAGGAAAGATGATCAGTTCTTCCCTGCAGAGGATTAAAGGTAGTTAATTAGGTCCAGCCATCCAGCAGTGAGCATTTCTATGACACATGTGTCTAAATGCTGAAGGTATAAAAAGACATTCTCTCATCCTTTTACTAGATGGTGAATATATCCATCCTGGCATGCAACCAGCTCTCCTCTGCCCATTAGAATCAGACAGAAGCCTTGTGCTTACCTAGGTGATTAGATTCAGCTGCAAGCACTGGCTTTGGTGGCAAAGAGATCACATTATGGATTGACCGGAGATATTGACTCAGAGGCTTGAGGGGAGTGCTTCTTTTTTCTTTCTTTATTTGCTTTTTTTTTTCCTTCTCTTTTTCATTCTTTCTTCATTTTGAATATTTTATCCAATTCTATCTGGCTGCTCGTTAATATGTCAACAAAAAAAAATCACAAATTTTAGTCAAATTCTTGGAAAGGAAAATACATGCTTGAATTATCAGGGATTGTTTTTTGTTTTTTTTGTTTGTTTGTTTGTTTGAGAGCCAAGAATGAACTCAGAAACATGAGCTTATGGGTGGCTAGCACTCAGCTTGAAGGCTCAAACAAAGCCCACACTTCTGCAAACAGGGGCAATAGTGATGCCATCTCGAGCATGATATAGAAAACATGTTAGCATTTCTGCATCTCTCCTTGGTACCAAGTCAAAGGGAATGGGATGGAGTGTAGCATCAGGGTAAATATAAAGAATATCTTGGCTACATTTCCCCCCTCATTGTGGTGAGATGTAAGGCAGAAGTAGGACATTTCAGTTAACTAGAAGTTTTGAAACATTGCTGCCTGGCAAAGCTCAAGGATACATTCTAGCTAAGGATCAATGTCAAATTGTCCTTTGCCAAGGTAGACACTGAAGAGTACTGACCTTCACTCAAGTAGCATGTGTTAGAGATTCAGGGAAAAGGATAGCTGGATAGGGACAATTCAGCTGAAGTTGTTTACAGATCTTTGCCTACAAAAAAATCACAACTTGTATTTAGATCACCATGGAAATGTATGCTTTCCAATTCATTTATCTTCTGATAGTTCCAGCAAACCAAACTACCAAGTAGAAACCTCCCATCTATCTTTTCTCCAGCAAAATCTAAACTTGTACCCTACCAGTCTGTGGCTGCCTACCCCCAAATGTTCCCTACATCTGAACTCTTTGTGGTTTGGGGTTGAAGGACTATGACTACTTTATTGCTCTTCATCTTTCCTCCTGACAGTCACCCTTCTTCTTGGTACAGAGGGACTCAAGTCAGTCATACATGAGTGAGGCACTTCATGAAAATAGCCCCACCTTGGCTTCTGGGTGGTTCTCGAGGTCCCAGCAATCACTCCAAGGGACTGTCCTCACTACATGCATAGACAACATGGCGCCAGCACACCTGGCTTTTCTCTACCACCTCGACCTGACATCAGATCCTCTGTGAATCATGCCTTTGATCTTTGATCATACATCACCCTTTCCATCTTTTTCAGAGTGGCTTCCCCACCTTGCTAATGTCCACTTTGGTCGAGAGGGATATCTATCTTAGGTGCCCTGAAAGAAAAATAAAGATCTTGAAGGCATACATATGTATTCATCTCAAATTGGTCAGATGTTTTAGTTTAGTTTAGGTTGAATTATGTCTAGGTTGTCTTTCCTTCTGTATGCAAGGACCTTTGCACAGAGAGTGGGATCACTTTCATGCAAACAATTTCATGCATTTTTTTGTTTTTTATTTTACTGAGGTATAATTGACAAATAAAAGTATGTTTAAAGTGTAATCATGTTGATTTGATACACAAACACATTGTGAAAGAATTTTGCACCCTCTCTATATCCAGGCTGAACAGCTGCAGAGACCTCTAGGTAAAGAGGGAAGTAAAATATTCCAGATTGGGGGCACCTGGGTGGCTCAATCAGTTAAGCAGCTGCCTTCAGCTCAGGTCATGATCCCAGGGTCTTGGGATCTAGCCCCACATCGGGCTCTCCAGTCAGCAGGAAGCCTGCTTCTCCCTCTCCCACTCCCCTGCTTGTGTTTCCTCTCTTGTTGTGTCTCTCTGGGTCAAATAAACTTAATAAAATCTTTAAAAAAACATATTCCAGATTGGGCCACTTCCGGCCACTCATACTTCTACTATTAGCAGAAAAGTATCTGTGGATTGTCCTGGAGGCTTGAAGTTGGTGAAATAGGAGTCTTTTGTGGTTTTATCATCAGAAAAGAGCTGGCATCACAGTAAATTTCCACAGGCAGGTCTTACTTAGCAAGTGCAAGTGCAG